CCCCCGAATCGAGAGAGACAACGCCCCGAATGCGCCGCCCAGTCCCTGCAGGAACAAACTGCGAATTGGCCTGGTCGCCAAAGGCTCAACTGGCCCATGATATTGCCCACGATCGGCTGCTGCTTACCGTCCAACCCGAGAGCCCCGAGGCAACGCGGGACACGCCCCGAAACGAGCTGGGCTTGCCACGCCGAAGAGCATTGCTGCATCACCTGTTTGAGCATCGACCGGAAAACTGGGCCCGTTGCCGACCGGCGAACCGATGGGCCGCTTCACGCGGGGCGGAATAGCGTTGACTGTCGCGTCGAGCTCGCCGCGAACCCGACCCATTACGATCGACAGCTCGTTGGTCTCACCATCGCGAGAGGGCTCGAGGCGCAGCGTGCGGGGGCCGATGGGGGCGGCGTGCCCGAAGCCGTCGGGGTGGTTCTTCCTAAACGCATCAATGGTGCCGTGAGCTGCTTTTGGTGACGGAGTTCTGATGGGTGGCCTTCGCCGCCGACTTCGCGTGCTCGGTCGCGCGCGAGAAGGGGAATGCGACACTCGCTTCGGGCAGAACCTCACGAGCGTACTCATCTGTAAGATCAACGAGCATGGCCGTCCACAACATGGTTCTGGGTTTCGCAACCGAACTGCCGTCACCGCCGCCCGCGCTACTGTCGCCAATGCCGCTGATGTTCGCATGCGGGCGGAGTGAAACCCACTCTTTCTCAATCTTAGCAATGTTCGCCGTCTGCTCGCCCAAACCAACTTGCAAAGCCTTGGCGAGAGAGACGCACTCAGAGACACGGTGAGGGAGCCATTCGCCTTGGCCACTTGAACGGTCAACTCGGAATTTTACGTGCCCGTGCCTGTGCGAACCGCCGCGCCTCCGTGCACATCGGGGCCCGGTCCGGCTGGACAGGGAGAAGCCAGCAACGCGAAGGAAGCTTTACCCAAGTTCCAAGCAGGCCCCATTCAGCTGCGAGCAAGCTCGAAGCACCAGGGATTAATGAATCGAGCTCGGTCCAAAAGTGCTACGGATAATGGAAATAGTATTACACATTCGCCGGCCCAGCGGGCCAAGGGGGTGCTAAGATCTCCAATAACTGGTTAACAATATTCTAGTTCGCGCGCGCGGGGCCGCCCCTGACCTGAGGGTTCCCGGACGAAGAGTACCCCGGGACACCTTTGGGACACCCCGGGGACACTCGGATCAGAGATGCCAGACCGGGCAATTTTTCGACACCCCTCACGAGGATCGAGGCCTCCGAGGGGAAGGGGCGCAATCGACTACCCCCCCTCCTGACCCAAGAGGTCCCCAAGGCTGCCCAAGAGGCCCCCGAGACGCCCAAAGAGCGCTCCAAGACTCCGATGATGACCCCAAGAGGCCTCCAAGAGGCCTCCAAGTGGCCTCCAAGTGGCCTCCGAGAGGCCTCACAAGAGGGCCCGCGAGGCCAAACTCAGCAATTTTACGATGGTTTGGGAAGGACTTTGGCCTTGTCGCCTTTTCGGCCATCCGATGCTCCAAGACGGTCCAAGAGGCCCCCAACAGCGCCCTTAGACGGGCCGAAAAGCTTCCAAGAGGGCCCCAAGAGAGCTTCCAAGAGGGCCCCGAAACGGCCCCAAAGGCGCCCAAAACGGCCCCAAGACGGTCCCAAGAGGGGTCCAAGAGGGGGACCACGAACCGAAAACTCTAGCCTTCCGCCCCAAGAGGGCCCTAGGAGGCCCCGAGAGCCCCCGAGAGGCCCCCAAGAGGCTCCAAGATGCCGCCAAGAGGCCCCCAAGAGGCCCCAGGCGGCCCCCAGGAGGCCCCAAAGAGGCCCCAGAAGTTAAAACATGTTTCCCAGGCGCCCCCGAACTGCTTCTCAAAAGACCCCAAGAGGCCTCCCAAAAAAGCATCTTGACGACGACCCTGTTTGGTCCCAAGAGCAACACAAGATGCCAACGAGAGGCTTCCCCCTCCGCCCCTTCCCCTTCCTCCTTCTCCACCTCTTACTTATCTTCATCCTCCTCCTCTCCTTCTCCTCCCCTCCTCCTCCTCCCCTCCCGTTCCCCATACTCATCATCCTCCTTCCCCTCGGCGGCGCCACAATGGCCCTGGGCCCGCGGCGAAGCAGTAGCGATCATGCAACATGGGGCGGCGGAGTGAGCGAAGCGATTGAATAATAGCAACGTGAAGTGAGAAGAGTACCAATGCTAAGACGTAGTACGACTACTACTGCTACTACTACTACTACTACTACTGCTACTACTTCTTCTACTACTAATACTACTATGATTCCTACTGGTACACCTGCTACTACTGCTACTACTACGACTGCAGCTACTATTACACTACTACGACGATTACTACTCCTACTACTACGACTACTACTACTACTACTACTACTACTACTACTACTACTACTACTACTACTACTACTACTACTACTACTACTACTACTACTACTACTACTACTACTACTACTACTACTACTACTACTACTACTACTACTACTACTACTACTACTACTACTACTACTACTACTACTACTACTACTACTACTACTACTACTACTACTACTACTACTACTACTACGACCATTTCTACGACGACTAATTTTACCACTAGTGCGAGTACGAGTGTTACTTGACAGTACGTTGATAAAAAACAATGGCACCACCTATCAGCCGACCAAGAACCATAGCAATAATGATGGTGATGATGGTGATGACGATGACGATGGTGATGGTAATGCTGGTGATGGTTATGATGATAAAGGTGATCGTGATGATGGCGGCGATGATGGTACTCGAAGGGCGCAACGGAGGAAGGAGGAGAGGAAAGGAACAGGGGGGGGAACGCGAGTCGCTGCTGATTCAAATCTAAAACCCAAGATGAATCGGACAAACCGAAAACAGCGTTTCTTCGACCGTTTATCATACGTGATCTCAACTTCTGGCTCTACGAGACCGATTTCGGTTACCCCTGGCAATGATTCTTGACCCGGTGGGGCCCAGACGCGCACATGGCGGCGATCCGGTGGCAAGGTGATAAGATGTCTCGCTCCTGAGGCCACAACGCCTAAAACCTGCAATGGGTCTGCGCTCTCAAGGCGTCGAACCCTAGTACGTACTAGACAGCGCTACGAATCCTCACTGTCAGCGCCACGATCCCTAGCAACATGCCGTGTCGTGGAACCGCGCTCCCAGGGCCACGACCCTTTGCCCTTTCGAGAATTCGGATGCCATGTGCCGCCCGCACTCATCCCCTGAACGTCGCGAGCACCACGACGATGAGGTAGGGCAGGCGCGATGGCGACGATGGCGGCGAACGGTCCTCCACCTCAGTCCTCCTCCTCCTCCTCCTGCTCGGTCCTCTCCCTCCTCCTCCTCGGTCCTCCCCCTCTTCCATTCAGCTTCATTATAAATAGCCTCTCCCTGTCGCACCCCGAGGCCAGTCGATAGGACGGGCCAAGCGTTTCTTGTGAGACTTCCTCCCCATTTATGATCCTGGAGCTTTCACAAATGGAGGGCGGGCGGTTTTCCAAATTTGGCTTTCGCCTGAGCGCCGCGCACAATCGTCTCAAACGTTGCAAGCGTTGCGCGGATTGAAGGCGGCTCCTTTCCAATGTGGCTCTCGCCTTAGCGCCGCGCACACTCGTTCGACACAGTTGCAAGGGCTTCAAGGATTTAGGGCGGGTCGTTTCAAAATGCGGCTCTCGCCTTCGCCCCGCGCGCATTCGTCTTAAACATTGCAAGAGCTTCACGAACGGAGGGCGGGCAGATTTCAGATTGTTGCTTTCGTTTTCGCACCGCACAGATCACGTGTAAACAACTTGCAAGAGTTTCACAGATGGACGCCAGTTCCTTTTCAAACTGTGGCTCTCGCCTTAGCGCCGCGTTCATTCGTCATACAGATCTGCAAGAGCTTTACGGATTGAGGGCGGCTCGATTTCAGAATGTGGTTCTCACCTCAGCGCCGCGCACACTCGTCTTAACAATTTGCACGAGTTTGACGGATTGATGGCTGTCCTTTTTTACAAATGTGGCTCTCGTTTTAGCGCCGCGCACACTCGTCTTAAACAATTGCTAGGGCTGCACCGGTTTCCATTGTTAACTTGCCAGAAATTGTGTTCTGGAGCGGTTCGGGATTTTCAGGGCGCAACAGCAACGCTGATTCGCGGTGTTAAAATCTCAGGAATGGTGTTATGGCGCGATTCAGGATCGGCAAAACGCAACAACCAAGTTGATTCGTGGCGTTGAAGTCGCGAAAAATCTGCTTTGGTGCGCCTCAGGGTCTTCAAGCGGTTGTCTCCCAACGGGGCACTTCCCTCAGTGGAAATGAATCCGTGTAGGGGCCTGTGAAGAGAGAGAGAGAGAGAGAGAGAGAGAGAGAGATTGAAGGGAGGGTGTATTCCAACCTCGTTGATGGCTCTTGGGTTTGTGCTGGTCACCCTCCTCCCCCTCTTCTCCCTCCCCCTCCTCCTCCTCCTCCTCCTCCTCTCCTCCTCCTCCTCCTCCTCCTCCTCCTCCTCCTCCTTCTCACTCGCCCCACTCCTCTCCTCCTCCTCCTCCTCCTCCTCCTCCTCCTCTTTCCTCCTCCTCTTTCCTCCTCCTCCTCTTTTCCTCCTTCCCTTCTCCCTCCCCCTCCTCCTCCTCTTCTCTCTCTCCTCCTCCTCCTCCCTTCCTCCTCCTCCTCCTCCTCCTCCTCCTCCTCCTCCTCCTCCTCCTCCCTCCTCTCCTCTCCTCTCCTCCCTCCTCCTCCTCCTCACTCTCTCCCTCCTCCTCTCTCCTCCTCTCTTCTTCTTCTTATTCTGTTTCTGCTTTGCTTCTCCTTATTATTATTATGCTTCTTACTCTTCTGCTTCTGCTTCTGCTTCTTCTTCTTCTTCTGTTTATTATTATTCCTCCTTCTCCTCCTCCTCCTCCTCCTCCTCTTCCTCCTCCTCTCTCCCTCCTCCTCCTCTCTCCCTCCTCCTCCTTCTCCTCCTCCTCCTCCTCCTCCTCGGGGTGGGGCCGAACATGCGGCCGCCTTCCTGCACCGAGGCCGCCACGCGCCGGGTGGTCGCCTCGCACAGCGACGGCGCGGCCGCGAGCTGACCTCGGGAAGGGTGTGCGGGCCGGGGCGAACGGATGGAGGCGGCGGCGATGCCCCCCGGGCGGCGTTGCCCAGAGGGGTGGCCTGGGCCCTGTTGAAAAATGTGTTGGAAGATGTTTGACCATTCGCGCGTCAAAGTTTTCTTATTCGGCGTTTCGACACTGGGCGGGAGGGGGGGGGAGGGGTGTGTGTGGCCCCGGATCTCCGCTTAATGCGACTGTTTGCAGCAGTGCGTCTTACGGAGGAGATGTTACCTGTTCGACACAGGCGCCTCAAACAGACAAGATCTACTCCAGGGGGGGATGGGGGGGGGCGAGGGTCTGCGCCGATCGGCAAAACAATGAATAAGAAAACGATGACTTGAAACATGTGTTGGAAAATGTTTGACCATTCGTTTGGGGTGGGGCAAGCTTCCCAGGCAGCTAGGATCTCGTTCCTGTCCGCCACCTTCATATCAGCTCGACCCTATCGTTATGACAGGGGGAGAAGTATGGAGGCGCAACTTGCCCTGGGACCATTTTTGTTGGCACGCGTTCGGTTGGCGAACTTGATCTCGAGATTTACACCAGCGACAGAGCCCTCGATTGCACGCAACGATAACGAAGGGCGGAAGTTGGACGTCGCTTGAATGGGGGGACGATTAATTGGGAGAAAGGTGCACTTCGGGCCCTACAGGCCCCTTTTTTTGCCCGAAAGGGCCCATTTAGGAATCCTACAGAGCTCTTTTCTGCAGCCCTCGTGGCCCCTGCATTTTGCGCCCCCCATTACGCGACGCCCTAGAAAGCAGTGTCGGCGACACGCTGGTTGGACGGCCCTATCGGCGTGCTGGTGCTGAAGTGCCAGGCGCATGCCCGAAGAGCGAGGGAGTATCGCGTGCTGGCTTCGTTGATGCTCTCGTACCCTCCCCGAGCTTGGCTCTTCCTCCCCTCCCTGGGCGGCGAGCCCAGGTGAGTAGTGAGAGGGGGCAGGCCGTCTCAAAGGCGGGGGGCTTCTCGGAAGCCCTCGCGCCTCTGAGGAGCCGCCTGTGGCTTCGGAGAAGGCCCAGGATCGGCACCGGAGTGCGGGCTCGCTGTTCCTCTCATCCTCCTTGCGCTTATCTCTATAGGTCGGACATGTCCTCCTACAGGCGGATTTCTGAGGACAAATAAAAAATTGTCCACCAATATTCCAAAATAGACAGAAATACTTCAAAATCGTCCCCCGACTACTTTCTTACTATTTTTGAATTTCCTCCTGTAGAGGAACATGATAGCGCAGGACCGCGGTCCACTTTGGTGGAAGAGGGGGATGGAACGAGCGATGGAAAATTGATGTGGGAAGGGAGGGAGGGAAGGAAGGGCAAGGAGAAAGGAAAATATAGAAGGAAGGAAGGACCTCGGGGAGCATAGCTCCACAAGAGGACGCCAGAGATGCTGAACTTCCGAATCGCATCGTCGGCCCCGATGTAAATGTTCTCTGCGTCGTCGAAGAGGGGGCTGCCGACCGGGATGGTGTTGTAAACTCCAGTGGGGTGGTGCCAACCCCAAGACACGCCCGCCGTGAGATCCTTCGCGCTGGGAGAGCAACGGGAAGAGGAGAAATCGGGGAGGAAGACGCCGTCGTCGACGAGGTGCGGGAGGAGATTGGCTCGCCTGGAGGAAAAGGGGTCCTTGACCCTGGGGACTTCCCCCAGGACGAGATCTTCATCCTGAGTCGTTTTCTGACAGTCCCAGGGCCCGTGGAGTACATGTCGTTCATTTCTAATCGTGCTCACTTCTATTTGTGCTCGTTTCTAAATGTTCTAGTGGCCAGGAAGAGGCCCAGGATAGAACAATTAGAAATGAGAGGATCCTGCCCCCCAAAAAATCAACGAACTTCCGAAGAACTAGACATGAACAATGTGTACCCCGAGAGCCCCCAAAACGGCGAAACACCTCAGGACCTGGTTCCTTCAGGACCCATCTCCCCCAATGGCGAATGGTGGAGGACGAGAAGCGTCCTTCGCGCCGGAATAGTTGGTCTGCATGCGATTGCTGGAGTCTGCCCAGTAGAACTTGCCGTCCGTTCTCCGAGAACTGCGGCAGCGGAGGAGGAGGAAGTGGAGGAGGAGGAGGAGGTGGGAGCAGGAGTACGAGGAAGAAGGACGAATTTGGGCGGCGAGCAAGGGGTGGGAAGTGAAAATAAAGAAGGCCCTCTCAGAATGCGGCGGGGCTTCTCAGAAGCCCTCCGGCCTTCTGAGAAGCTTCCCTCAAACGGCCGGGGGACTTCCGAGCTCTCTGCGAAGGTCCACCCCTTCTCACTTCCCCTCCAGGCTCGCCGCCGAGAGGAAGGAAGGCAGAGGCGGGGAGGAGGGGCGGAGGAAGAAGAACCCCCCCCCCGCCCCCGCCTCTTGAACTCGTGATCCTGGTACCGGGTGACGCCCACCTTGTTCTTCACGTTCAGGGCGGCCCAATACGACGAGTCCTCCACGAACGTCTGCGTCCTGCCGGCTTTGCCCTGCACCTGGATCAGGCCCACCGACCCGCCCGGCGCGCCCGCGGGCGGCGCGGCGCCCCTCCAGACGTGGACCGCGGCCGCAGGCAGCAGGGGCAGCACGGCCAGAAGTCCGACGGCGGCCGGCATCCTGGAGCGCCAAGCAAGCAGCAGGGATGCTTGGCGGCGAGCGATGGGGGGGAAGTGAGAAGCAGGCCTCCTCAGAAGGCGGCGGGGCTTCTCAGCAGCCCCCCCGGCCCTCTGAAACAGACTGCTGCACCTTCGGGACAAGCTCGGGACACTCTTCAGAAGGCAGGGGGACTCCCGAGCCTCCTGAGAAGGCCCGCCCCGACGGGGCGGGAGGCGCGCCGAGGCCCTCCGAGGGACCCCCCTCCTCCTCCTCCTCCTCCTCCTCCTCCTCCTCCTCCTCCTCGGGCCCCTCGAAGGACCCTCCCCCTCGCTCGCTGCCGATGTCTGTGTGTGTGCGATCAGTAGGTACGGATGGTCTGCCAGACTTCGAGCAAGGCGCCCGCGCGGCTCGAGCGCAGAGTGGCCGCGGAGAGAGGGAGCGGCAAGGGGAGGGGTGTTTTTCGTTGTCGTTTGCGTTTTGCTTCCGCTTTCCGCTTTCGTTCCCGTTTTCGGGAGGGCTCGAGCTGAACAGTGCTTTTCGTGTTCGTTTTGTTTTCGTTCTCCCTCGTCCTGTCTTCGGTCTGCCTGTGCTGCGGAACGACCTCAGAAGGAAGAACTGCCCACGAAGTCGCCCAAGCACCATTCAGCTCGAGCCCTGAAGGAGGGATGATGGGGGGAGGAGGACGCCGCTGCCGACGACGACGACGATGAGCATCACGGCTGGAGGCCAGGGGCCCCGACGGGACCATCCCTAATCTCCCGCCTACTCCCCCCCCGAAGAACTTCCAGCGACCCGTCACAGTCGACCGTACACTTCTTCTCCTCAGGCTCTCACTCCTGCTCCCTCTGCTGCTGCGACCCCTCCAGCTCAATCGCATCCTTCTCCCCTTCACCCCCCGCTCCTGGCCCTCCCCCTCCGTCCTCGATGTCCTCGCTCTTATCCTCATCTTCCGCTCGTCATCCTCCGCTCATCCTCCTGCTCGTCCTCCGCTCATCCTTACCCATCGGTCGGAAGAAGTAGGTAGAAACATGAAGTAGGAAGGCGTTGGAAATAGATTGGGTTTCCGCACGCCTCCTGAAGAGGAAGGAAGAGGGAACACCACTCGACTCTTGAACTAGGAAGGCGCTGAAAGTAGATTAGAATCTGGGAATCCAAAAATACATACTTTCAACGACCGATGGGTACCCTCCACTCATCCTCCTGCTCGTCCTCCTGCCCATCAGCTGCCTTCTGATTCTCCTCTTCCGCCTCCCCATGCTACCTCTCCTGCTCCCACGCTCGTGGTCGTTGTTGGCCTTTTTCCGCTCCTCCTCCTCCTCCTCCTCCTCCTCCTCCTCCTCCTCCTCGGTATTTCCCTGTCCTCTCTTGTTCCTCCTCCTGGTCCTCCTCCTCAACATCCTTCTCATCCCCGCTCGTCCTCCCCGTCCTGAATGCTCGAATCATCCTCCCATGCCACCTCTTGCTGCTGCTCCTCCTTCTCGCCTCCGCTCCTCCACCTCCTCCTCCTCGTTACCATCCTCTTCCCTCACAGCTTCGCTCTCACTCCGCGCGCACTCAATTCAAACATGGCAGCATTTGCGCGGATTGAGGGCGGCTGGTTTTGAACATGTGGCTCTCGCTTGCGCGCCGCGCACATGTAGTTAAACAGTTGCAAGAATTTCACGGATTGAGGGCGGGTGGTTTTCAACACATGAGTCTATTCCGTGGCGCCGCGAGCGCTCGGTTTAAACAGTGCAAGAGATTCACGGATTGAGGGCGGTTCCTTCTCAGCATGTGGCTCTCGCTTTAGCGTCCTGCGCCTCCGTCTAAGATGTTTGCAAGTGTTCCACGGAGACCGGCGGAAGACGTGCCAGAAACGGCGTGTTGGAACGATTCAGGGTTGCCAGGGCGCTACAATTACGTTGATTCGCGGTGTTAGAGCACCAAGAATGGTGTTCTGGCGCGGTTCAGGATTGTCAAGATTCAACCGTCAAATGGGTTCGTGGCGTCGAAGTCCTTGGAATGGTGTTTTGTCACGCTTCAGGATCTTCAAGCGGTTTGTCTCCCAACGGGACACTTCCCTCAATGGAAATGAATCCTTGTAGGTGCCTTTGACGATGGAGCTTGGGGGAGGGCTTATTCAAGCCTCGTTATGGGTCTTGAGTTTACTCTGGTCATCCTTCTCCTCCTCCTCCTCCTCCTCCTCCTCCTCCTCCCTCCTCTTCGTCCGAGTCCTCCACGCCCATCTCATCCACGACTCCATCGACCCCCTCCCCTTGAGCGCCGAGTGTCGACCGCAGACGTGGCGACCACTTTGGCCCTTAGCGGTGCCCCCATCAACTCTGTCCACCCTCCTCCATCCACCTGCTTCAGCTCCTCCACTTCCTTCACCTCCTAATCATCCGTCTGCTCCTCCTCTTCATCAGCATCCGCATCATCGCCATCATCAACACCATCAGCATCATCATCAATATCCTCATCCTCATCGCCATCATCGCCATCATCGTCATCATCGTCATCATCGTCGTCATCGTTACCATCGCCAGCATCGTCATCATCGGCAACAGCATCATCACCATCATCATCATCGTCGTCGTCGTCATTATCACCATCACCAGCACCATCAGCATCACCATCATAACCAGCAACATCATCATCACCATCACCATCATCATCAGTATCAGCATCATCATTATCATCATTATCATCACCATCACCACCACCCTCACCACCACTATCATCATCATCATCATCATCATCAGCAGCAGCATCATCATCATCACCACCATCATAGTCGTTTTCATCATCATCATCATCATCATCATCATCAGCATCATCGGCATCATCATCATCACTATCATCAGCAGCAGCATCATAATCATTACCAGTATCAGCATCACCGATACCATTAACGTTATCATCATCATCATCATCATCATCATCATCATCATCATCATCATCAGCATCATCATCATCATCCTCGTAATCGTTTTCAAAATCACCACACTCACAATTGGCACCACCACTACCACCACCATCATCATCATTATCAGCAGCCTCACCATCTTCATCATCATCATCCTCATGACCATCATCATCATCATCATCATCATCATCATCAGCATCATCATCATCATCGTCCTCCTCCTCCTCCTCATCACCATCATCATCTCAACATCATGAGTATTAGTATCCTCCTCCTCCTCCTCGTCCTGCCTCTTCCCCCTGCTGCTCCTCCTCCTCCTCCTCCTCCTCCTCCGCATCCTCTTTCTTCTCTTACTCCCTCTCGACCACGCCCTCTCTCCCTCTGACGCGTCCGAATACGTCGTCGCAGATGCCGTCAAGGGTGGGGGAGATAGAACGGCGTCATCTTCCAGAGTCTGGTTTCTACCGAGGAGTAACCGACCGAAAACTCATCATCATCCAGCTTCCTCCTCCTCCTCCTCCGCCTCCGTCCTGCTCCCTCCTCCCTCATTCCTCCACCTCCCTCCATCCTTCTCCTTCTTCTGCGTCCTTCCTCTTCTTCCTCCCTCCTCCCTCCGATCTCTCTCATCCATCTTCCCTTCTCCACCATCCTCCTCCTCTTTCTCATCCTCCTCTTTCTCATCCTCCTCCTCCTCCTCCTCCGCATCCTCCTGCTCCCCCTCCACCCTTCCTCATCCATCACGTTTCCTCACCATAACCCTGGAATTTGCGGAGAAGAGGCAGCAGCCTGCTAGGATCGGAAGCAAATTTGAAGAAGCCCGCCGAGGCGCCATTATTTTATCATATTGCAGAACGAGCCCGCCGCAGGCGCCGATTTCTTGTCATAGTCATGGGTGTTGGTCGCAGGTGGGTCGCGGGCAGATCGCGGGCTGGTCGCGGTCGGGTCGCGGGTGCGTCGCGGGTGGGTTGCGGGTAGATCACGAGTGGGTCGCGGGCCGGTCACGGGTGGGTGCAAATATGTCGCGGGCAGGTCGCGTGCGAGGACGACGTGAAACAACATTAACGAAAATCCGCACCACGAGCCCCGCGTCAGCCACTCACCCAGGGACGGTGCCGGACCATTCGGCCCCCTCACTCTGATAGATAAGTCCTTCCTGTCGCACCACCAGACATGTCCGTGGGTGGGACCAGGCGTTTCGTATGAGACGTCCGTGCAGTACAGCTACACGGATGGATGCCAGTACTTTTTAAGCATTGGGTTCTCGCCCTAGCGCCGCGCACGCTAGTTAAACAACTTGCAGCATTGACAAAGCTGGGTCCGAATCGTTTTCAAAGTGGGGCTCTAGCAGCTAGCCACCGCCCGCAGGTACATGTCGTTCAAGATGCGCATGCTTCGCGTAGGCCGTCAATGCAACCACACACCTCCTCCGTTCCTCCTCCTCCTCATTCTCGTCCTCCCCTTGTCTCTACTCGGTGCAGGAAACTCCGCCGCCCACTCCCTCCACCCCCCGCGACTTGGACGTCTGGACGCCGCGCAGCTCTGTGAAGTGCAGGATCCTTGCGTGCAGCGTCAAGGTGAGGAGCAGGCCGAGAGGATGAGCATCAGCAGGAGAAGTGGGGGAGAGGAGGAGAAAGATGGGGAAGAGTCGGCGGAGGAGGTGGATCCGAGGAGAAGGGAGTGGATGGGGGAGGACAGAGGCGGAGGAGGATCCGAGGAGGAGAAAGAGGAGAAGGTGGAGGAAGAATATCCGAAGACTCTTTGACTCTTTCTGGGCTGCTTGCCGGAACCCGGCAGCCCAAGCCGACACAGCATGATACTATGGAGCGCGAACAATGAGCGTATCAGCCAAGGCGAGCCGCGGCCTGATTCGGCGCGGAGCCCTCTGGGCTTCATCAAGGAGGAGGAGGGGGAGGACGGAGGTGGAAATTGCGGTCGCTGCTCCTGCTTGCTCCTTCTCCTCCCCCCCCCGCCTCGAGGAGGGGGATGTGGATGAGGAGGAGGAGGAGGAGGAGTAGCAGGAGGAGATAAAGAAAAGAGGATAATCCAAGCCAAACGAAACCAAGTTGGTGACGGTCCCCAGATTCTTGACGAGCGAAATCGCTGGCGAAGCCCAATTAAAACTTAGTGGCCCATGTGACGGCCAGGAGAGGGAGATGCTCCAAGCTGGACTCGAGCTGAGTTTATCAGGCACTGCAGAGACAGGGGCACATTACAAGTACGACGATGACAATTAGAACAATGCTGATGTGAAGGCGTCCCTGCTCGCATTCATCCTCGCCTCTGTCGTCCTCCTGCTACTAGGGCATGGTAGAAAAAAACCTGTGCCTACTCGCTCCTCTTCCTCGACACCCTCCGTCTCCTCCTCCCCCCCCTGCCCTTATTCCACCTGCTCGTCCTCCCCTGAATCCTCCGTCCCGTACCTCTTCTCCACCCCCTCACTCCCGCACCCCGATACATCCCCCTTTTTCTCCTCCTCCTCTTTCTCCTCCTCCCCCTCCTCCTCCTCATCATCATCAACATCATCATCATGAACACACACGTACCCTGCGACTAATCCTGGTTCCTAAATCATAATCCCTCCTCCCGCTCCTCCTCCTCCTCCTCCTCCTCCTCAGCAGCATCATCACCATCAACATCCTCATCATCGTCAGCATCATCATCATCATCATCATCATCATCATCATCATCATCATCATCATCATCATCATCATCATCATCATCATCATCATCATCATCATCATCATTATCACAATCATCGTCATCATCAGCATCATCATCGTCATCGTCATCATTATCAGCATCATCATGGTCATCATCGCCATCACCATCGTCATCACCATCATCACCATCATCATCATCATCAGCAGCATTACCGTCAGCATCGCCATCACCATCAGCATCATCACCATCATCAGCATCAGCACCATCATCATCATCATCATCAGCAGCGTGATCATCAACATCAGCATCAACATCAACAGCAACCTCTTCCTCATCCTCATCCTCATCATCGTCCCCACCGTCACTCTCGTCCTCATCCCCATCCCCATCGTCAACTCATCACCATCACCATCACCATCATCATCAGCATCATCATCATCGTCGCCATCATGGCCATCATCATCATCATCATCATCATCATCATCATCACCATCATCATCATCATCAGCATCATCATCATCGCCATCATGCCATCGTCATCGTCATTCTCATCACCAACAGCATAAACGCCATCATCATCATCAGCACGGTCGTCAGCACCATCAGCACCATAACCATCGTCATCATCATCATACTCAGCATCAGCATCACCATCATCATCGTCACCATCGACGTCATCACCGTTATAATCAGCATAAGCATAATCATCAACAGCAGCAGCATTAGCATCATCATCAGCAGCATGTTCATCATCATCTGCATCATCGTCAACACCATCATCATCAGCATCATCATCATCAGCATCATCATCAGCATCAGCATTCTCATCCTCGTCCTCACCATCATCATCACCCTCCTCCTCCTCCTCATCATCATCATCATCACCATCACCAGCATCGGTATCAGCATCACCGTCACCACCATCACCACAACCATTATCGTCAACATCACCATCATTTCCTTCATCCTCATCGGTATAATCGTCATCAGCATTATCAACAACATCAGTGCCATCACCATAGCATCATCCGTATCGTCGCCATCATCAGCACCAGCAGCATCATCAGCACCATGGTCCTCACCCTGACTCCCTGCATCGTCCCTCTCCCTCCTCCTCCTCCCCGCCCCCCTCGTGCTCGTCCCGCCTCTCCTCCTGCCGACAGGGGGGGGGGAGCAGCCTCGAGAGAGCATGACATTCGACAGCACCCTCCCCCTACTCCTCCTCCTCCTCCTCCTTCTCCTCCTCCCCCATCCCTATCCTCCCCCTTTCTCTTTCTCTCCCACGTTCGACAACAACCGTCCTCCCCTCGCCCTCCCCCTCCTCCCCATCCTCGCCGCGCTCGCCATCGCCTCATCCTGCGCCTCGCCGTCCATCCCCCCGTCCCATAGTGTCGTCTTCTCCCTCTTCCTCCTGATCCTCGCTCATCCCGCTGGTTGCCCCGTGGCGGCACGAAAAGCCCACAGGTCACACACTCGAAAGGCGCAAACGGGAGACAGGGCAGAAGCAGAAGGCAAGAACATGGAAATGGGGGGGGGGGGGCGGATGCAAGGGTAGAGTGGATGTGCGTTCCCACTCGAAAGGCGCAAACGGGGGACAGGGCATAAGCAGCAGAAGGCAAGGACATGGAAATGGGGGGGGGTCGGAGGCAAGGGTAGAGTGGACGTGTGTTCCCACCGTTCCCCCCCCGGTGGCACGACCGAGGTGCCCTCGCGCGGGCCCCGCGCACGGCACGGACAAGTCGCGGGGGAGGGGACGAGGGAGATACGGGAAGGGAGGGGCGGGAGAGCAGGGATGGGGCGGGAGGGAAGGGAGGGGGAATGAGAGAGGATGTGGAGAAGGAGAGAGGAGGAGGAGGAGGAGGAGGAGGAGGAGGAGGAGGAGGAGGAGGAGGAGGAGGAGGAGGAGGAGGAGGAGGAGACCACCTCTCGCGACGGGGGGGCGCTAGACATGAAAGACCGTACAGTGCATCGTGTGCGAAGTTTGCTGATGAAGGGTGAGCTTGGCCGGGCTGCCACAGCCGCCTGGGGGGCAGCAGCGATGCGCACTCCCGCCGAAACCGCAGAAGCCTTCGTGCAGCAGGGCCCGCAGGAGCCTGATGGCCACGACGTGGACGGACCTGCTGACGCCGAGTCTGCGCACCAATTGCGCCGAGACGTGGAGGAATGCCTGCGAGGTCACTGGCGAAAGGTGCCCCAAGGGGCGGGCGCCGGTCCACAGGGCGACCGGTTCGAACACTGGCAGCCGCTGGCTCACACGGCCGGGCGAGGAGAGGCCACGGCGCGTGTGCTGGCCACGCTTGCTGGGGGAGACGCGCCTATGGAGGTGCTGACGCTGGCGCTGGCAGGGAGGCTGTTGGGTCTGGCCAAGAAGGACGACGGCACCCGGGTGCTTGCCTGCGGGTCTGTCCCGCGCCGATTGGTCGGCCGCGCAGTGTGCAAGGCGAGACGGGCCGCCATCGCAGACGCAGTCGGCGACTGCCAGTACGGGGTGGGGGAGCCATCTGGCACAGAAGCTTTGCACAAGACGCTGAGCGCGAAGGCGGAGCAATCATGCGTACGTCTCCCTGGACATGGCGAACGCGTTCCGCTGCATCTGGAGACGCAGCGTCTTCCGGGCACTCCAGGCGAGGTGCCCAGATATGGAGCTTTTGGCCCGCCAGTGGTATGACCGGCCAACGACCCACGTGGCTAGCGGAGGCGGGAACGCAGCCAAGTTAGTGCAGCAGCTGCATGGCTTAGACCAAGGCTGTCCGCTCAGTCCGGCCCTCTTTGCCATCGCTGTGGCGCCGGCGCTGGAGGGCCTCCGAGACTTTGCACGGCAACGCTCTGCGGACTCCTGGGTGTACGCTTACTTGGATGACGTCTACTTGGTCGTCCCGCGCCTGCACCTGCGAGGCGTCCTGGCTGAGGCCCGGCGCCTCTTTGGCGAGCTCGGGTTGCACCTGCGGGAGCCGAAAACACGCTTGTGGTCCCCCGCAGGCCCGCCGGCCGACCTGCCCGCTGACCTGGCCCAGTACGTGGTGAGAGAGCTCCCCTGCCTTGGGAGTCGCGTCTCCTTCGTGCGCCCACGGCCAGAGGAGCAACGCGACGAGGAGGACGGGCGAGACGTGCCCGCTGGCGTGGAGGATGCAGAGGCGCCGGGGCTGGCCACGGAGCGGCTGCGCACCTACGCGGGCAAGCTCTTTCACCTTCTGGCGGCCGGGCTGGAAGCGCAACACGTAGTCACGCTCTTGCGCTGCTACGTGAACGGAGCTGTCACTCACTTCCAGCGCGCTCGCGTCGCAGCTGCGGGGGCTTGGCAGTGCTACGACGAGGCCGTCGCAGCCGCGATGTCGAGCTTGCTCGGCGCGCCGCTATCGGACGACAGCAAGGTGCTGCTCTTCCTCCCGCTGAAGCTCGGGGGCGCGGGCTTCCAGAGCGCGGCGCTGCGGGCCGACGGCGCTTGGGTGGCATCCTGGGCCGCGGTGGAGGACGCCGTGAGGGCCGACCAGGGCCTGCCGACCGAGGCCGCCGCCCGCGCAGCGACGCCCCGACTCACTGCAGCGCTGGCGACAGCAAGGGCCCGCCTCGGCGCCGCTGGCGCGGCGGCCTTTGCGAGCACCCAGAAAGAAGTGCTGCAGCCAGCGACCCGGCGGGTTTACCGCGACCTGCTGCGACGCTTGACAAGCCAGGGCGACAACGACGGGGCTGCCCTGGTCCGCAGCGCCGGCGGAGAGGGCGGCGCCTGGCTGTGGCCGCCGCGCAGGACGGAACACCTGCTCGGCGACGACGATTTCATCGTCAGCCTCCGGCGCCGCCTCCTGGTCGCAGACCCCGCGGCGAGCGGCGGAGCGCCGTGCGCGCACCGAGCGACGACCACGGGTGCGCTCTGCGGATGCGTGTCCCAGAGGCGCTATGGCGTCCACGCCGTGTGCTGCCGCACAGGCCCCGGCTTCGTGCGCCGTCACAACGGGTGCCGGGACGTCATCGCCGCGTGGCTGCGGGAGGTTGGCGACGGAGACTCTGTGCTGACAGAGCAGCACGTCCCAGGGTGGGACCGGATGACGCGACAGGGCATTGAACAAGCCGTCCTAGACGTCATTCTGATCACCAATTCTGGGCGCGTGGCTGTTGATGTCAGCGTCGCTGAGGCACCTTCTGCCGACAACGCCACAGCGCGGGCACGGGCGCGGGCCGACGGGGCAGCGGCGCGCGAGCGCGAGCAAGAGAAGCACCGCCGCTACCCAGGGCCAGGCCTGGTTGCGGCCGCGCTGGAAACTGGCGGCCGGATGGGCCGCGAGTTCCGGGCGTT